GATCTTGCACGCTCAAGAAAGAACTGCAACTTAGAGCTAATGTTTTAATAAAATCTTGTTTATACTATAGTCAAACCAGAACAAACAAAATGAAGCTACAAATGACATTTTTATAGGAAGTCAAGAAAGAGATTCATGTGTCTGAATATTTGAGTTACAGTATGGTAGGCATGATTATTATTTCCTGTAAAGCCAAATTGTAGCTTTAAAGAAAGAAGGCTACCCTGGGAATAGAGCATGAATATGACTTGGGCCTCTAAAGAGCAGCTAGATATAAATACCTGACAATTTTAAAGGAAAACTCTCATCAAGTATTCTGAGAATTTTACAATGGAGCAACAGAAAGAAATGGCCATGAGAACCTTTCTGGAGCCTTCAAAATATCACCATGTTGAAATACTGCAAATGCCTCACTTTGTGGAAAATGGGCCAAAAATTTTCATGAAGGTTTGCAGTGAGATAGGCAAGAAAATGACAATTTTTTAAAAGTGATCTTAGAATCCCCGAAATTAGATCAAAAAGGAAATTACCAAAGTCTATTAGATCATCTCATATCCAAGGAAGAAAAATCTATGTAGTATATTCTACAGTATCTTGTCCAGGTCACTTTTGAGTTGCTCAAACTCATCAGCTCCTCTGGTTTCCATCAGGAGAACAGACCCTCAACATAATAATTTTTCTCTTGGTTGTTAAAGTAATACTCCTTTTGTTCATTTGCACCATTTTACTACTGTATACTTCTTTGAGACAGCTATTCCCTTCTAGGTGATCTTGGCTCTGGTGTTTACCACTGTGATATCTAATTTAATAGCAATCCAAGTATAAAATACTAAACTAAAAAAAGCAACTGACCTTCTGATTTGTAGCCTTGCTCCCTCTGTAAGCAGGGGCAAGCTTCTGATGGAATGAGACCTGAGCTCCTGGTCAAGAGGATGAAAAATCACCACCTCACATTCAAAGACAGGCTGTATTTCACCAGTGCATGGCCCTGAGTGGAGGATGAAGATCTACTAGCAAATCAGCCTCAAAGGTTCCTATTATCTTTACTCAATGTGATGGTCCATGATTTGGTTAGACTGAGAAAATTTGGCTACTATTACTTTTCCCTGCATGTTAGTGGAAGGGTATTTAATGAGTTTTCATCTCCTACTTGTAATAACCCCATTTTTTTTTAATTCCCAAATTACAGACTTCCAGATTAGGATTTCTGTCTGGCCTTTGTATATGGAAATAGAATTCCCTGGAGGGAAGGAAGTTTCACGCTGCGGATTGATATCCTACCTCCCAAGCAAGGGACAGCAGATGTCACGACCTCATGGATAGATTTTGTATCTCCTCTGTCCAGGAACAAAAACAGTCATAAGCAGCATACAGAGTAATCCCCAAACATACATTCACTTCACAGCCTAAAAGAATAAATAAGTGTACAAGAAGAAAGCTGCAGAGAGTCCATCCTTTAGGATGTTGGAATAAGTTTGTGAAAACAAAATTACTACCTGAAAAAGAATTTCATTTTTTAACTTAGCTGCTATTATGTCTAACTAGCAGAGTAGCAAGTGACAATCATACTTGAGAAAAAGAAAGGCTGGATGAGTTTCTGGAAAACTTCTCAATGTTAAAGGCCTGTCTGCAGAGGAACAAAGTCATGTCATGAAACTACAGACACTTGGCAAACTCCTCTGCAATCTTGAGTTAGTGCCTTGTACTGCACTCATGTTATTAGTTATTGCCATATCATGTAAATCCTTCAGGACAGTACCATTTCTGAAGTACCCTTGTATTGTCAGGTGTCCTGACATTATCAAGGCTCCTGGGGATGTCAGTGTGTGGCATTTCTTTTTTGCTCCTTTACAGCAAGATTCCAAGCCAATCTGAACACCATGCAAAAGGCCAGGATCTGCCTCAGGAAAAATTTAAATTGGGTTGGAATGGAGCTTCTTCCCTCACTGTCTCCTTGGAGTACAGGACCTCTTTACCCAGGATAACCCTGTCCCTTACCCACTCCTGTCCCAGTCTTCACGTAGGGCTTTGCATCTGAAAACAGGCATCTGGTAGGGAGTGCTGGTGGCTGCAAGCAGATGGACAGGGACGCTGGGCTGAGTCACTGGCAGCACATCACTTGTTGAGCTGTTTGAGGTCCTGCAGGGAAAATGCTCACTTTGTGGCACTTACTTTGAGAAATACTGCCAAGAACAAAAATCACTACAAGAATTACTGCACTCTGTAGATACAGGAAACAAAACAGGACATGAAGAAAAGACTTTGCCACAGGAGTGGTAAAAAGTTTACAGGAGTTGGTGCTGGACTACTGACATATAGGAGGTACCTTCCCATCTGCCACAGTACACAGATTACACTTGCAGTATATTTCTTCTCTCTTCTTCCCCACGTGCAAACAAATGGGTGGATTCCTTTCAAAACTAACTCGATGTCATGTTTACAAATCTATGAGCTTACTGACAACCTGATCCTGGATCTCAACAGTCTCATGAAAGTCACTGGCCACTTGCAGGAAGGACTGAGTTGATGACTAAAGGTTTCAGGACCAAGGTCATCAAGCACAGAATGTACAGGAAGAGCTGAAGTGTTGACTCCAGTCAGCACTATCATTGTACACAGTAACATCAAAAAGATGGAAGGCTCTTCATTCATCAAGTCAATTGGATTTAAAAAATTATATACCACAAAAATGAAATAACAATACCTTTTCTCACTGTTCCATCTTTTCTTTAGACTGTACTTTCACTGCCTTACTTTTCTTCCTCTTCGCTCTTTGTTACTCTGCTCACTACAAATATTAGCAATGTTTATGAGTAACTCCTTATTTTTCCCTACAGAAAAGTAATGCCTAAATGCAGTGACAGATAATTCACGATACCTGAATGAACAAAACCCAAACCAATGAAACTATCCAAGCTCTTCCTCACACAAACTGACCAAAATTGCAGTTTCCAAGTATCTAGGAACTGGTTCAATAATTTCAATGGGACTTTTTGGAAACACAAAGATCACCATGAGAGATCACATATTGCTAACTATAATAAGATGATTTTGAACTAAAACAAACAAAAATATCATGTGCCCTGAAGATGTGAAATCACTACTCTAACTCATATTTCAGAATATTTTTACAACTTATAGTTGGCTCACAGTAGCAACATATATCTACTTGTGTTTATAATTTCATTAATGACTGAGCAGTCACTCTTCAAACAAAACAGTGCTGTCAAAAGGGAGTGCCATGGCAAGGTGAACTTTCTAATTTTTTTTGCTGTTCTTTCCATCCCAGGGCACCTTTTTAGTCTCAAGAGTATTTACGTGCTGTGAGTACTTTGTCAAAATGATACAGAACTATTGAATACCAATTCATTGTTATGACCCTCAACAAATACCCAACACTACAGCAGCTGTACGGAGTGTGCAGTCAAAGATTTAACAGGTGGGACAGAAATTAATTGTATTTAATCTTTTGAAAAAATTCAAAATGAAGCCCCTGATATTCCCATGTCAGATTCAGTCTCCGTTTTTGCCTCCCAATTACGGTAATTACAGTCCTGTGCCCACTGGGAACTACTTGCACACTGAAACACCAACACACTTCGCTGGAGGAGGGAGAGGTTCGCCAATGGAGTTATTACAAGATGCAGCAGTGAATACTTTGACTTTCAGTGAATGTGCTGTATCCCTTGCTCCACAACTCCTAATTATTTTAACTAAACAGATGAGATATCTGGTTAGCCTATGTGCAGGGTGACCTCCAAGATTTTAGAGGTGGTCATTGAATAGGTGAAGGCTATTCTGAAAAAACAAGGCTTTAGCCACTGCAGTAATTGTTCCTCAATTCAAGCTGTGCCAGTAGAACTCGGTGCCTGCACTTAGTCACTGAAGGCAACAGTGTGTAGGCATATGGACCCAGGCATCCACAGGGCGTGACATCACTGCAGGGTCAGCACCTAAATTAAGTTTGTCCCCAACATGACACCTCTGTTGCAGCACATGAAGGTACCTACACACGCTGCCACATGTCAGTTTGGATTTCATCCCTCTGCCTTGGCCTCAGTGCCAAGCATCAGGCAACAGCAGGCAACTTGCCAACACTTTTTCTTAGAAAACGATGACCCTTTCTGGAAACGTTTTGAAGGCCTGCAGAGTCTTTCTGGAAAGGTAATAATGCTGAGCTTTTGCACAAACACTGTAAATGAAACCTACTCTAAAATACTATCACTATCCTAAAATATAATACCCCTAAAAATGGGGAGAAATTAGGTCAATATTGGCCAAAAGATATTGCTGTGTAGCCAGGCATAATGATTCCTAGAAAGCTGAGGTAAATAATAGATATAGCAGCATCAACCAGTTAGCAAACTTCACATTTTCAAAGCACATGCCAGGAAAATCCACTGATTTTTAATGCAAATGACTCAAGATTCATCAAATATTTTTGTGCTTAAGCTTTTACAGATTTTGAGTTATATAACTAGTTTGTCATGATCAAAAAGTCTTACTGAAGTGACTGAAAAAAATAGAAATAAAGGAAACATATAGGAATTCTATAAGGAATTATAGAAATTAAGTAAATCACAGTTCAATGGAAACCTTTCCATTCCCTCCTTTCCCTTGACCTTCCAAGCCTCTTTTAAATTGCGGCTTCTCTTCCTACTGCTTTTGCCAAATGGAATTCTTAACCAGCACTCAATTGTGCAGATCAGATGAGGAAACTCACTTCATACCCAGTGCATTTGTTGGACCAGGATCAGTCTGAAAGGAACAGAAAGGTATACACAACCTGTATGGCTCAGAATGAGCCCATCCACACTATGACAACACACACCTGTAAGCACAGTGTCAACAAAGGCAAAGACAGGGGTTAATTGGCTCCTGCAGGAAGCCTGGTTTCATTCATTAACAGAGACATACGGGCGAGTTAAAATGAAGCTCCTGTTTTCCCTCTGAAGCTTTTCAAGTCTCAAAATCTCGCACAAAGCCCAATCTGCTGTCACCTCAATGAAAAACAATAGCAGGTACTCAAATAAGTAAGACCCGCGTGAGAGTTCACAAGCCCAGCTTGTGTAGAAGGCCACCTGCCAACAGGAAGAAGTGGTGAGGAAGAATTTGGATCCAGCTGCTATCCTCCCTCAGCCAAACAATGCCGCACAATAAACAGCATTAAGGATTTTTTTTTTTTTAATCATCAATCACACTGGGAGTACCCATGTCTGTCATTTTTTCTCCCTGGTTGCCAGGAGAAGGGCTTGAGAGACTTCTGAGCACAAGTTCACAGAGAGCTGATCTCCTGTTTCCCATCACAGCTGTATCAAAGGGATTGAGACAGGAAGAATAAGAGGGAAAGAAGAAGAAATGACAAAGTACCTTGCCGTAGAGCTGAGTCGAGCTGCTAAATTCATCACAGGTAACACAAAAAATCTTGTAGCTGTCTTGCAGCCCCATTTCTCCTGTCAGCTTCTGACAGAAAGGCAGAGTGGACAGAGAAAGAGGGGATAACAGTGTCTGCAGTCCTTCTTTTCTTAATATGAAGTACTGAACACTAGGAAATTAACTACGACTGCATGCTCAGTGGGTCACTGTGGCAGGTGCAACTTAACCTTAAGACCATGTAGCCTACTGCACCTTCAGATTCAGCCCAGGCAGCACCTGGGTGAAGCACTCCAATAAATCCACTCGCCGCTGATAGTCGGTAACAAAAAGGGTTAAAAAAAACAACCACACTGCAGCTGAAAATTCCACAGCATTTCCCTCCGCAGAGCTGCAAACAGCGTGTCTCCCTGGGATAAAATGAACCGACAAACTGCCCTACAGATCAGCCAGTTAAACACATTGAAACGCCACTGCCACCGGCGGACACGGATGGCTGGAGAGCTCGGGAGAGAGCATCACGGTCGCTCGACGCTCCTCCGGCGCGGCCACTTCCTTGGCGTCCGGGAATCGCACCTTACGGCTACACGTCGGCGCCGGATTCACCGCCTTGCAGACGAGGAACCCCCCTCTCCTTCCTCCCCGCCTCAGCCCCCGGTGAACACCCAGTATCTGGGTACTACCTGCGTTTATCAGCAGAGCCATCCCGTGTCTTCAGTCATTCAAGGAATTTAACAGCCTGGAAATTCCTGTTGTCCATTATTTGAGGTCACAGATAAAAGCTAAACAGCAGCCGTGACTCCCATCAATCATAAGTCACTCACTGATAGAGCGTATGGTAGGAGACCTACTGATGTAAGCTAGTCACCAGAGAAAATACCCACTGATGACGCATATCCAGGCACAAAAATAGTTACAGGGCCCCCAAAGGGATTATTCAACAGCCTACATTTAGATATTCCTTCAAGAGACCCGCAGTCAATTTGCTGCTATTAGTTGGCTGGGGAACATTGAAGTTTAAGTTTCCTCAGCAGACATAACCACAAATAGCTGGTTTAAATAAGCTACTGCAATTACAAGCTGTTTTGTAAATTTTAACACTGCATTATAGCGATTAAGTCTAAACAGAACCACTGGCTAAAATAATGCTGTATAGCCTTTGCCCTTACTGTTTACCAATTCCTTCTGCATATTAGTCAGCAATGAAAAGAACAATTTAAAATTGATTCACAAATGCTTAAACTAAGTTCCTTGTGCTACCCTAAAGAAATGGATTTTTTTCTAAAAAAACCCCCAAACCAATATATGTGAAATGCTGTGGGATATTTGGTGATGCTTAAATGTTATCTGGATCGCTTTTTGCCTTAACTTTTATCCTTCTTTGCTATTTGCCTCTCTACTACACAAAAATACCTAAATAGTTAATCTTTCTTGCACAAATCAAAACCATGTAAAGGTAAGTTACTGACACCATGCAAAACCACCATGCACCTGCTTTGAGCAGGGTCTGGGAAGAGAATCCCCAGAAATCCCTTCTAGCCTAAGTTACTCTGCAATTCTGTGCAACTGGATTTTTTGGCATTAAAAACATAATCCTCTAAATTAACCAATCAACTGGTAATCCTACAATATTCCTGCCCCCTTCAACAGTTTCAGGATCCTTCTCATGCCCTCACAGCAACAAAACTTACTAGGATATAGCTGAGCCTACTAACACAGCTGATCACAAAACACTGACTGTGCAGTTCCGGCAATATTAAAAACTTTATTTTTTAAAATATCTGATTTTATCATCCAAGCTCTCTTTTCAGAAGCAATTTTGGTGCTTAGGAGTCTAAAATTTACTTACTTTTTATTGCATATTTAAAATATAAATATAGGGAAGTATTTTATGGCTCTGATGCCTATTTCATCGACATATTTCTGGAAAGCATTACCGAGCCAAACAAACACTCAAGGATTTATAGTGTTTACTCTGTAAAGCAGGAGAAAGAAATGTCCCCGGGTACAAACTTCTACCTCGCTTTCTTCATCTGTGATAACATTATTAAAAATAACACCAAAAATTATTTTTAGCACAACTGTTTCGCAAAGCCCTCATGTTTCTCTCATACATCCATATGCTGGCAGTCCACATGGCCTAATTTAACAGCCCTAAGAAGAAATATTGGTGCCCTCTAGCTGATCAAACTCACCAATTTCCTGCAGACACCTAGCACCAGTCTCTTTTCTCACCTGACATTCCCACGTCTTTCACTGGTGCCCACGCAACGCAAGCTCTGGAATAAAACAATCCACTTTCTACAGAAGATGCAGGAATCAAAACATTGAAATCCCTTAGTGCTCTCAACTCTAGGAGCTCTTACAAAAGCATAAGTGTCATGAAAAACTGGAGAGGTGTAACTGCGAACGATACCACCTTACCAAGAACCAGTGAAGCATCTAAATATACTTTGTAGCCTGCAAATTCCACAGGAAAATACAACCTGCAATTTCACATGAAACACAGAGTCCCTCACCTGTTTAGAAGCAAGTATTGTAATTCCCCTTTCATCAGGAGCCTTTAAAAAAGCTTATAAGCCGTATATTATGTTCTGCCACACATTCTGAAGTTCATGTAACATTAGTCAGTGATGGATCAATTTCGCAACTCAGAGCTCAGGACTGCCCTTCTGCCATCACAGAAGCCTGAGCAAGCGGGGAGAGCCTGACTCTTCTTTCACTCTGACATCTGTCAAAGGGATGGACTCCCCGTTCCACCCACCATGTTCCCATCTCCCTTCCCCCTCAGCCCTTCTCCTGGAGACTGTATCAGGTACCACTGACCTCAGGGTCACAGCATACAGGGCCACATCACCTCACCGCTGCACGGCTATAGCAGGGACATCCCTGTTACGTCTTCAAAGCTATGAAAGCCTCAAGGCAGGGATGCTAACACATACTTTGGACACCATCATTGGTGTGACAGATGAGGTCAATGAAACAGTGTCCAAACCCCAAACAGGAGATCTCTGGGCTGGAGGAAAATCCCTGCTGAGGAAGAGCTGGCCCAGGAAATGCTGTGCCTGTGGTGGCAGACAGCTGCCAGAACAGCTCTTTGGCACCTTTACCAGCAGGTGCATCTGCTCTAAGGCACACCAATGGCCACTAGCTGCTCAAAGGATGCAAGAGAAGGGGAGGCTGTATGGAAAGTAGGCTTAAAGCAGGCTTTAAGCTCTGTTCTCTCGCTTCTTGTCCATCTAAAAGAGGTAGAGGTTGGCGGGAGCTGGCTGTCTCCATGCATTTATTTAAAGCCATAAACATCTATGGACATCTCTAGATAACCCTATCAATGATTAATCACATTAAACATAAAGGGGAAACCAAGATCTGAAGCTAAACATAAATGTTGTGAGATAGACTAACTTTTAGGGTTGCATTCATAATGCTCAAAAGGTCTGTTTAAACCTTGATTGGGAAAAAGCATATACCCTCTTATTTCTGTGTTTGAACAGCAATTGTAAAGCAGAAACTGCTCAAACATTTGTCAAGTATCAGGCTGATTCTGCAACATCCTGCTGCCTTTGGAAAGTTAACTTCTCATGTGCCATCTGCCTGTTGAAAGACAGAATGGGTTAATCACAGTGGCCAGGCACTTTGTAAGGGTCCTAGGGCTCCATTTCTCTGGCACATTACTACAACATTACAGCTAATGTTCCTTTTATACACACCTCCAGGAAAAGCATGCCACAAACTCGGTCAATACTCATTAAGGGGTTGCAATCCAAATCTCTACATCAATTAAAGATGAAGGGCTTATTTGAACAAGGAATAGTCAAAACTCTTTTGTTCACATAAAACAGGCGTTTTACTCCATTTGGAAAGTGAAATGTTTGGCATAGTTCAGTTTTCTGCTTGCCCTTTTTTTTTTTTTTTTTCCCTACAACCAGCTGTCAGTTCTGTCACTTCTCACACAGGAGACCTAGAACAAGGCTGGTTTGTGCAACTTTTTTTCTGGAAGCCAACAGACTTCTCAAAAGCCTGGTTTCTTGAAACATAGCGGAACCCAGCAAACTCTTGCACAGAATAGGTACAGATGTGGGAATGTGACAGATGGGCAGTGAAGGTGGTATCTATGGGGTAAAAGGAAATATGGTGGAAAAATGAGGATCTGGTAGGAGCAGCTTTTTGCTGTTTCCAGTAGTAAAAATGTGTTGCTCTTCAATACAAGGAAAAATAATGAAAACAGGTAAAAGACAGAACAGGAATCACAGTGGTAACTAAATATTCCCATCCAAATAAATATTAAAGAATATAGAGACGCCCTGTTACAACAAAGTTTCATGACAGCTTTAAAAATACAGTATTTGAAGTAGCAAGCTGATGAATTATCTCTTACTGGCCCAGGAGCATCAATTTGGAATATACATCAATGTCGTGTAGGAATATTGTTTATGAAAAGTAGAGAGACTATGAGCTTTCCACATAGACAGTAAAAGAACACCTCAAATTAGCAAATTAATATTTAAAATTTCTACAATTTTTGGAAAAAGGTTCACTATTAGAAAATATTGGCTCACTGAGGATGGAATAGTATGGAGCATTTAGTCACTGTATCATACAACATTAGATAAATCAGAACACTGATGTCAGAAACATATATATAGTCAGCTGTTCTCCCTCTGCCAGCACATCAGTCTCTTAGGGCTTTTCTCCCATTGGCAAAACAGGTAATATTGATTATAACTGAAAAACAAAATTAAAATATTATAGAAGTACAGGCTCCTGAGACTACCTAATGATTTTTCTCTATTTGGAAGTAGGACTCTCATACCTCCCCTTGCATTTAAACACCTCCGAAGAAATCTAAGATGAGTAACAATGGATGGTGGTGGTGGGACTAGCGCTTATTTTAGATATTTAACATGAAAGTCAGCATTTTTATTTTTGGAAATAAGTACGCTTGAAGTTAAATTTCAAATTGCCACTACCTGTTATATATTCTAAACTGGATACATTTGGTAGCATAGTTAACAATAAATTACAGGGTTTATGTCAAAGTTTTAAAGCAAATAAAACCATAAAAGTAAAGAAAGCTGTTGCCTGAGCACCTGGAACCAGGTTTTCTTGAAATAAGAAACTACTATTTGATAGCAATAGCCTCTCCTGTGTACTATCCTATTGCATGAACTATTCTTTATCAAAATTCCTTCAAAGTATTTCTAGAATATAGTAATGAAAAATAATATTAGTCTCAGTGGTCTGTTAATATCATATGTATGCCACTTGACTTGAAGGGAACAAATAAAGTTGGCGATCAAAACTTGACAGGTTTATTCTATATATTATCCTACAGTGCCTGCATTGGCAGATAGGGAAAGAGAAACTGATGTCATCTATCCTGACTTCCATAAGGTCTCTGACACAGCCTCACACAACATCTCTCTCTCTCTACATTGGAGAGATAAGGATTTGATGGATGGGACATTCAGTGGATAAGGAATTGGTTGGATGGCCACACCCAGAGAGTTGCAGTCAACGTCTCAATGTCCAAATGTATCTGTATCAAGTGGTATTCCTCAGGGACGCCTATTAGGACTGATTCTGTTCAATATCTTAATTAATGACATAGTGGAATTGAGTGCAGCCTCAGCAAGTTGCAGGGTGAGGAATGAGGTGGTGTTCAGACACAGTATCTCTGCCGCATCTTCCTCCCTC